GGGAAAGGGAAAGGGAAAGGGAAAGGGAAAGGGAAAGGGAAAGGGAAAGGGAAAGGGAAAGGGAAAGGGAAAGGGAAAGGGAAAGGGAAAGGGGAAGGGGAAGGGGAAAGGGAAAGGGAAAGGGAAAGGGGAAGGGGAAGGGGAAGGGGAAGGGCGGCCACGTGGGTCAGGAGGCACCGAATTCCCGGGGGATGGACCCGAATCCCGGGGGGAGGGCCCAAATCCTGGGAATGGCCCCAAATCCTGGGGAAGGGCCTGAAATCCCAGGAGGATGGCCCAAAATCCCGGGGGAATGGCCTGAAATTCTGGGGAATGGCCCCAAATCCCAGGGGAATGGCCCCAAATCCTGGGGGAATGACCCAAAATTCTGGGGGAATGACCCAAAATGCTGGGGGAATTGCCTGAAAACTCTGGGAAATTGCCCCAAAATCCTGGGGAAATTATCCAAAATCCCGGAGGAATGGCCCCAAATCCTGGGAGAATTGACTTAATTCCTGAGGGAATGGCCTAAAATACCGGGAAAATGGCCCCAGATACCAAGGAGTGCCCCAAAATCCTGAGGAATGGCCCCAAATCCTGGGGGGAATTGCCAGAAATCCCGGGGAATGCTCTGGCCTTAATTCCTGGGAATTTTTCCTTAATTCCAGGAGAAATGGCATCAATTTCCAGGGAAACGGCCTTTTGGCCGCCCAAAACGATGGGAAAATACCCTAATTCCAGGGAAAACACCTGTGACTGCCCAAAACGCTGGGAAATGACCTTAATTCTGGGAAAACATCCTTAAATCCACCCAAAGGGGCCAGAAATCTCCCAACTCTACCCAAAAAGGTGGGAAAGGGATCTTAATTCCCAGGGAAATACCCTTAATTTTGCCCAAAACGGCAAGAAATACCCTTATTGCACGGGGGAATGCTCCCAAATGGCCCAAAACGCCCTTATTTTTGGGGGGAAAAACCCTTAAATCTGCCCCAAAAGGGTGGGGAAATGCCCCTATTTCGGGAAAATGCCCCAAACGCCGGGAAAACGCCCGTATTTCTGCCATAAATGTCCTAAAAGCCCCAAAACCGCCCAAAATGGCATCGCAATTCCCATCCGG